TAGCAGAAGAATTTATGTTATTTCGGAAACCTTAGGGGGATTATTGTCATTATGATTATATTATGCAACATATATAAAACTAAAAGCTTGTAAACAATATATTTAAATATTTTTTAGAAAATTGAATAAAAGAAAGAAATTTAATCAAAAGAACTTACCATGTACATCCAACCTTTTCAAAACTATTACATAAAAATTAAAAAAAAAATGCTAATATTCTTGAAACAATTAATTTAATAAATCAATTAAAAACAATATCTTAATATTATCTAATGATTTAATATATATATATATTGTAAATGGTGAAGTGTTTTGATTTCAATATGGAAATGAATAGATTGATAGTTAGTGGAACTTTCCATGGAATCCAAATCAAAGCGGGAGAGAAAGAAGATAAGATATGAAGACTTTCTAGAGTCATGTTTGGTTGGTAAGAAAATCATTTTGATGATATTCTCTTCCCCCACTAACTAAACTTTCATGATCATTATTTCCCACATTTGTTTGAATAATTATTATAATTCCATATATACATTTTTCTAAATAATGGAAACATATTCATTAGTACTAAGTTAGGTAATAACATCTATATTCGAAGAAGAAAAGGACATTATACTATAAATCACATATACCTATTCCATATAGAATTTAAATACATCTGTTTTCTTTTTTAGAAACAAGAATATAGAAGATCTTATGAATATTCTTTTATAAAATAAGTAGTATTGTTTTCGAAAACAATCCTAAAAACTAATGCAAAATCAGAAAGCAATTTTACAATTATTTTTAAAATTTTTTAATCAAAAAACAGTATTTAAATAGTATGTTAGACACATTTTCAAATAATAAAAATATTAAAATACAACTCAAAAATTATTATTGAAAAAAATAATGATACTATTGGCCCCCATAGTTTATTTTAAGTGTAATACTACGTCCACAATCTTCTCTTACAATCCCAACGTAACCTCCAAATTGGCAACTATCACATCAGCTTCTACCACATCCAAGGCACTAAATGATTTTGACTAAACATGAACGGTCGTTTCTTAGGGATGAACGATGAACGACCGTTCCTTCATAAGGAATGATTATTCTTTGTGAAGAAACAACATTTCTTTATGAATGAAATAACATTTCCTTATGAATGAACGTTTGTCTCTAAGGAACGATTGTTCGTGCTCAGTCAAAGTCGTCTGTTGACGTGGTAATGTCAACTCTACTGTCATGTTAGGATTATAAGAAAATGTTATGAGATTATGTTATAAACATAGTATTTTTGTTATCTTAATAAACCCCACTTCTAAATTCCTTCATAAGGAATGGTTTTAAAACAACTATTTTTTATGAATGAAACAACTGTTCTTTATGAATGAAATAACTTTTTCTTATGAATAAACATTTGTCTCTAAGAAACAATCGTCTGCGCTTGGTCAAAGTCGTCAGTTGACGTGATAGTGTCAAATCTACTGCCACGTTAGAGTTGTAAGAGAAAGTTGTAAGATTGTGTTATAAACTTAAGAGATGTTTATTTAAGCTTATAAGATGGTCAAACTAACTTATAAGCTCTTAAATTAAACTGACCTGTTTGTTTATAACATTTTTGAGTTTATAAGCCAAAAAAATAAAAAATAAATAAATAACTAAGTTGGGGGGAAGATACTTTTTTTTTTTTTTTTTTTTTTTTTTTTTTTTTTTTTTTTATGCTTATAAGCTAGTTGACAAAGTATATTACCATTGTTTAATTTTAAAATTTCATAGTATACCCTTATTTAATATAGTACCATTTTTAGTCATTTTATAATAAAATGTACTTATAAGCCACATTTTACCAAACACGTCAACTACTTATCAGTCACTTATAAGTAAACACGTAATTACTTAAAATTTCAAATGCTTATAAGCTATAAGCTCAGACAAACACCCCCTTAGTATTTTTCTTATCTAATAAACCCCACTCCTAAGTTTGCTCCATTAAATTTTTTATATATTTCTAAATGTCTAAATAAAATTAGGTTTTGTAATATAAAATTTAAATTCATATCAAAAGTCTCCTATGGGAAGTCAACCCTAAACCAAATCAATTTTCTACGCAATTAAATCCAAAATTTGTTAACCGAAATTTTAGGCTCAATTCAAGAACAATAGTTCAAATCAAACCAAGTTTTAGATCCATTTTACACGGTTGGAATAATTATAAATGTCACCTTTTCAAGAATAATTTTTTAGGATAAATATAAAATACGAGATTACTAAGATAGTGAATAGTTTAATTTGTGGGCAACGATTTTTTATTTATTTTTATTAGAAAATGAAAAGATTAAAAGTATATGGATGAACAAGTGTGAAAGCAAAATAGTGATTGCGGAAATTCATAGAGTTTACAAGTCAGTCAACTGAAGAGACAAGCTACCACAATTATCAATTCAGTCCTAATTAATTAGATACATACCCAACTTGCCATTTGGTTTACTCCATCTCATCTCTTATCAAATTAATAAGTAAAATAATTATAAATAAATAAATAAAACCTTTTTATCAAAAAAAAAAAAAAATTATTTGAGAAGATTAATATCATATAATATGGTCACGGTTCTTACCCCCCCAAAAAAAATACCAAAATTATCAATTCTTTCCTAATTAAATCCGGACTGCCACCACCACCCAATATATATATATATATATATTAACTTGCCATTTGGTTCACTCTATCTCTTGACTCTTATCAAATTAATAATTAAAATAATTATAAATAAATAAATAAAACCCTTTAATCAAAACATAAAAAAGTCTAACGTTCTCTGATCTAATCCAACGGAGTTTAACTTTAAATATTCAATGGTTCTGATTCATTTAAATTAGAAATATACACAATATCCAAGCTGTATAGGATTTAAGCTCTCTAACCTCATCTTTCTTAAACTTTCACTCTACCACGTACTCTTATATATATATATATATATATATATGTCGAATCATTAAAGGGGTGAATTTGTAAAAAAGTGAAACTTATAGGACTTTAAAAGTATATTCTATTTCCTGAGTGAACTTCACACTCTTGATGTGATAAAAGGACAAAGGTGATAACATCTTCTTTCTTGTTTTTCCATTTACTACAAAGTCCAACCACCGTCTTAATTCCCCTATAAAATCGTCATCTTCAATCTTCAAAAGATTCATTTTATCATATCTTCAAAGATTCCCATCTCCAATATTTATATACTTTTTCCTCTTTCTCATCTAGACAACCAAAACAAAAATGGATAATCAACTCAGGAGGAGAGATGAGCAAGAAGAAGTTGAGAATGGTTTCAACTCAGAAGAGGATTCTGATAAGAAGGGGAAGAAGCAGCAAGAAAGAGAAGAAGAAGAGGAGTTTTCAGTGGAGAAAGCTTTTGAGAACAGGCCGCTTCCTTCATGGAGGGGACAGTTAACAATGAGAGCCTTTGTGGTGAGCTTTGTGTTGAGTATACTTTTCAGCTTCATAGTCATGAAGTTGAATCTCACTACTGGTATTATTCCTTCTCTCAATGTCTCTGCCGGCCTTCTGGGGTTCTTCTTTGTCAAGACTTGGACTAAATTTCTTGAAAAATCTAGTCTTTTAAGGCAACCCTTTACCAGGCAGGAGAATACAGTCATTCAAACCTGTGTTGTGGCCTCTTCCGGCATAGCCTTCAGTGGTAATGTTAATTTGCGGCCTCTTTCTTTCTCCTTTACTTAATGATCTAATCTAGTCTCATGTTTGAATCTCGTTTGAACAGTAAATTTTCTGTGGAAAACTTGTCATAATTTGTGTGAAAAGTTTCAACTTTTACATGTTTGTTTAAATGATTTAAGGCTAGTTTGATGTTACTTGTCAGTAGAAGATTTGACTATAAATTAATTCCAAACTTTGATGGAGAAAACGGGGTTTTGAAGCCTAAAAGTCATTTTTTTTAGCTTTTTACCAAAATCTCCAGAAGGTGGGGTTTTTATGCCGGTTTTTCAAAGTCAATTTCTGAGTTTCAAAGCGTGTAAATTAGCTGGACTACCAGTTTGAATGGGAACTTAAAATAGTCTAAGACGGCTAGTATTGGAGCCACTCCACCTAATTTTATAGTCATCAAGTCACTTTGAGTACATCAGCATCACAGAATTTTCTATTTTGGGTTCTTTAATTGTGTGTGAACACTTTGTAGATAACTTTCATATATCATACTTTTGTAATCAAAAGTTCTTCCTCTTGTTGCTTTTGTCTTTGTTAGGCTCCACTAGCAATAGTGTGGGGATGATAATGGTCCCAAGAATGAATGAAGGTCCAGGTTAAAAGCATGAACTTATAAAAGAAAAGCGAAGTCCCTAAGTTACACACGATATTCATATGTTTATCTAATAAAATCTTATATTTTTTTTTTATGTTATTACTATTATAATTTACGATTTTTAAAGTAGATGTGCGTGTGATACACCCGTCTCAGCCTTATTGATTGACAAGTGATAATTGACAAATTAGGATTAATGTAAATGTCGAAGAAGGGAATTTTTTGTTTTTTGTGTTCTCTCCATTTCTCTTTTGTATATTCTTTAATGGAATCATCTCTTTGCAGTAAGAAAATGTATATAAAAAACCAAAACAGAAGATAAAAACAATAAATTTAGATCCTGGGCTGGCATGGCATTGGAATATTGTCATTATGTGTGCTGGCATGTGAGGAGCAGAGCACATGGTCCTATGATATGACTACCTTTTCTTCAGCTCCATTTCACTCTCAAATGAACAATAAAATATGTAAATCAATGGAGATTTTTTAGGATCAATCTTCTTTTCTTTTTACCCAAATTAATGTCATGTCTTATGTGCACTAGTTTTATAGTTGTCTTGTGACAAACAAGTTCTTGAAAGTTTGAGAAAAAGAAAGCTTGTGAACAAGCAATCAGATAGCAATGCATTTACAAANTCAATCTTCAAAAGATTCATTTTATCATATCTTCAAAGATTCCCATCTCCAATATTTATATACTTTTTCCTCTTTCTCATCTAGACAACCAAAACAAAAATGGATAATCAACTCAGGAGGAGAGATGAGCAAGAAGAAGTTGAGAATGGTTTCAACTCAGAAGAGGATTCTGATAAGAAGGGGAAGAAGCAGCAAGAAAGAGAAGAAGAAGAGGAGTTTTCAGTGGAGAAAGCTTTTGAGAACAGGCCGGTTCCTTCATGGAGGGGACAGTTAACAATGAGAGCCTTTGTGGTGAGCTTTGTGTTGAGTATACTTTTCAGCTTCATAGTCATGAAGTTGAATCTCACTACTGGTATTATTCCTTCTCTCAATGTCTCTGCCGGCCTTCTGGGGTTCTTCTTTGTCAAGACTTGGACTAAATTTCTTGAAAAATCTAGTCTTTTAAGGCAACCCTTTACCAGGCAGGAGAATACAGTCATTCAAACCTGTGTTGTGGCCTCTTCCGGCATAGCCTTCAGTGGTAATGTTAATTTGCGGCCTCTTTCTTTCTCCTTTACTTAATGATCTAATCTAGTCTCATGTTTGAATCTCGTTTGAACAGTAAATTTTCTGTGGAAAACTTGTCATAATTTGTGTGAAAAGTTTCAACTTTTACATGTTTGTTTAAATGATTTAAGGCTAGTTTGATGTTACTTGTCAGTAGAAGATTTGACTATAAATTAATTCCAAACTTTGATGGAGAAAACGGGGTTTTGAAGCCTAAAAGTCATTTTTTTTAGCTTTTTACCAAAATCTCCAGAAGGTGGGGTTTTTATGCCGGTTTTTCAAAGTCAATTTCTGAGTTTCAAAGCGTGTAAATTAGCTGGACTACCAGTTTGAATGGGAACTTAAAATAGTCTAAGACGGCTAGTATTGGAGCCACTCCACCTAATTTTATAGTCATCAAGTCACTTTGAGTACATCAGCATCACAGAATTTTCTATTTTGGGTTCTTTAATTGTGTGTGAACACTTTGTAGATAACTTTCATATATCATACTTTTGTAATCAAAAGTTCTTCCTCTTGTTGCTTTTGTCTTTGTTAGGCTCCACTAGCAATAGTGTGGGGATGATAATGGTCCCAAGAATGAATGAAGGTCCAGGTTAAAAGCATGAACTTATAAAAGATAAGCGAAGTCCCTAAGTTACACACGATATTCATATGTTTATCTAATAAAATCTTATATTTTTTTTTTATGTTATTACTATTATAATTTACGATTTTTAAAGTAGATGTGCGTGTGATACACCCGTCTCAGCCTTATTGATTGACAAGTGATAATTGACAAATTAGGATTAATGTAAATGTCGAAGAAGGGAATTTTTTGTTTTTTGTGTTCTCTCCATTTCTCTTTTGTATATTCTTTAATGGAATCATCTCTTTGCAGTAAGAAAATGTATATAAAAAACCAAAACAGAAGATAAAAACAATAAATTTAGATCCTGGGCTGGCATGGCATTGGAATATTGTCATTATGTGTGATGGCATGTGAGGAGCAGAGCACATGGTCCTATGATATGACTACCTTTTCTTCAGCTCCATTTCACTCTCAAATGAACAATAAAATATGTAAATCAATGGAGATTTTTTAGGATCAATCTTCTTATCTTTTTACCCAAATTAATGTCATGTCTTATGTGCACTAGTTTTATAGTTGTCTTGTGACAAACAAGTTCTTGAAAGTTTGAGAAAAAGAAAGCTTGTGAACAAGCAATCAGATAGCAATGCATTTACAAATTATTGAGTTTGGACTGAGGTTGATGCATTGAAAAATATGCAGAAAGGTTTATAGAACATACTGAAATTGAACTGAGATTAATGCGAACACAAATATTTTCTTGTGGCCACACTTGTTCTCGGTCCAAAGAGAACCAGAAACAATTTAGTTTCTTATTTGATTTTTGGATGTAACTCCACCAAAATTGTCCCTATGTAAACTTCTGTATTGGTTATTGTATAAAAATATAGTTCAAAGCCTGAAATTTTTTTATGGCATTGCTACTTGATTATGTGCTTATTCATGAAAATCTAAAATGGAATGTAAGTGAGCTGCAAGTTTAAATGATATCATATTCATGTGTTGAAAGTTCTGTATTTTTCTCATCTGTGGACAAACAGGAGGTTTTGGTAGTTACCTCTTTGGACTGAGTGAGCGAATTGCTGTGCAATCTGAAGACTCCAACCATGGTTTCAAAAACCCTTCGCTAGGATGGATTATTGGCTTTCTCTTCATTGTCAGCTTTCTTGGTCTTTTCTCTGTGGTGCCTCTCCGAAAGGTATGCTCTTCATATACATTTGAAAGAGACCAGAAAGAAGATTGAATAAATACATTTTCTAACTTGATCTTGACTATAGTTTTGTCAATTCTTGATTGTTTTGATGAATGTTTGGTCAGATAATGATCATAGACTTTAAGTTGACATATCCAAGTGGTACTGCAACTGCTTATTTGATCAATAGCTTCCACACAACTGAAGGAGCAAAGCTAGCAAAGTATAGTACTTTCTCACTAACTGAAATTTGCGTAGATGTGATAATATAAATACTAAAGGCATTTTAATCTGTGATGTTCTTGGACAGGAAACAAGTGAGAACGCTTGGCAAATTCTTCTCCTTCAGCTTCTTGTGGGGTTTCTTCCAGTGGTTCTTTACTGCAGGAGACAATTGTGGATTTGTTAACTTCCCTACATTTGGGCTCCAAGCATATGAGAACAAGTACATACATTACTCAACATTTTTGCAAAAATTAGTGCATGCTAATTTTGCTTATCAGCACCCTTTGCCACTCATTAAGTCTTGTTTTAGGCCTAATGAGCTTCAAAATGTGCAGGTTTTACTTTGACTTCTCAGCAACATATGTTGGAGTTGGGATGATTTGCCCCTACCTTATAAATATATCTGTTTTGGTTGGAGGAGTTCTTTCTTGGGGTCTTATGTGGCCTCTTATAGAAAAGAGGGAGGGTGATTGGTACCGTGCAAGTCTTGGCCAAAGTAGCCTACATGGCATCCAAGGTTACAGGGTATGTTCAGATAAGCTGGCAAAAGTGTTTAATAATGCCATAATAAATTCTTCATGAAGGCTTTTCCTATTTTTTGATGCTTGTTTTGTTTCTTAAAATCAGGTATTTATTGCCATCGCCATGATCCTAGGTGATGGACTGTATAACTTTTTCAAAGTGATAACTCGAACCCTTTCAGGCTTGTTTCATCAAGTGCGAAATCGAGAAGTGACCAGCACTCTCCCCGTAGCAGACCAAGATTCTCCTGTGAGCACTAAGCTCTCTTATGATGACCAAAAACGCACCCAACTCTTCCTTAAAGATCAGATTCCAACATGGTTTGCTATTGCAGGATATGTCACAATTGCTGCAGTTTCGATTATCAGTCTTCCACACATATTTCCTGAACTTAAATGGTATTATGTGTTGGTCATCTACATCTTTGCACCAACCTTAGCTTTCTGTAATGCATATGGGTGTGGACTCACTGATTGGTCTCTTGCATCCACCTATGGAAAGCTTGCTATCTTCACAATCGGGGCATGGGCTGGTTCTTCGCACGGTAGTGTTCTTGCTGGCTTAGCAGCATGTGGAGTCATGATGAACATTGTTTCAACTGCCTCTGATCTATCACAAGATTTCAAGACAGGTTACTTGACTCTGGCATCTCCTCGTTCCATGTTTGTGAGCCAAGTTATAGGCACTGCAATGGGGTGTATCATTAGCCCTTGTGTCTTTTGGCTTTTCTATAAGGCCTTTGATGACCTTGGGCTTCCTGGAAGTGAATATCCAGCTCCCTTTGCTACTGTGTACCGCAACATGGCTAAACTGGGCGTAGAAGGTTTCTCAGCTCTGCCAAAGGAATGCCTATTGCTTTGTTATGTATTCTTTGGAGCAGCCATAGTGATAAACCTGACAAGGGATTCCTTGGGTAAGATTGGGTCGTACATTCCTCTTCCGATGGCTATGGCTATACCTTTTTACTTGGGACCATACTTTGCCATTGACATGTGTGTTGGAAGCTTGATTTTATTCGTATGGTCGAAGATAGACAAGACCAAAGCAGATAATTTTGGACCAGCTGTGGCTTCTGGTTTGATTTGTGGGGATGGAATATGGACTTTGCCAAGTTCGATTCTTGCTTTAGCAGGCATAAAACCACCCATTTGCATGAAGTTCTTGTCAAGGACAACTAATTCCAGGGTTGATAAGTTCTTAGGGTTGTCTTAAAGTTTGGCTTTTGACGAATATAGCGTAATTTTATAAATTTCTGTGCTCGTCAGAGTATCCATGTATTTGTATAAAATTTGGTAGTATTGAAGCATATTTTAGACAAGTTTATGATTAGTTTGAAAGCTGTAATGTAACATATATGAAAAGAATTGTTATAGCCTGTATGCAGTTCTGTGAAAATCTATCAGAAATTATGCGTGCAAAAGCTTAAAACAGGCAGTTGGATTATATGCATAGCGTCTATTGCTTATTTTCCTTTTACCCTCTGGAATCTTCAAGCAAAAGTAAAACGATGGTCCATCCACTTTCATGATCCAACTCTTTTGGGAACTACATTTTTTGTTTAAGGAGCTTCAAAATGATGAACTACATGGCTGGTACTAAGCGCATAAAATTGTCATTTCTTGATCTTTCTGGTTTTGTTTGATGTTCTGACATGGTTTCTAGAGGTTCAGTGAAAATCAAGGCAAATAGCAGAAGAAATGACATATTATTGAACCAAAGATATAGCTTCATCTGTTATTTCCTTTGGAAAGAATGTTCTGTACATTGTTGATAGTATCTAGTATCTACATAACTTTACAAAATGCATTTCAGCGATTGTTACTCCATAGAATTAAAAAATCTTGAAAGAAATTTCCTGTATAACTCATATCCTGCAGCACGTTTCAGAAGCTTGTGTGTTTCTGATTGTTTCCAACTTATCCATCTTTAACAGACTGGTCGGCTTATGTACTTCAAGAACATCCCTTTCCTGATTCACATTGTTTGACCTGCATTAAATGCCGAAAAGCGAATCCCAGATGGAGGATTAGTAATTCCAGCTATCCATTAATATTTCTGGAGATCACTTTGATATATAATTGGCTGAAGCATTGAAAGGTTCTCAGCAGCTGTTGGAAAGAAGAATCAATGCCAAACTGTCTCTGCTACCAACTTCGGGGAGCTTGCATCTTTACATCTCAAAAATTATATTTCAACCCTATTTGAATATATCCAGGGGTGAAAATGTATCATATGCACATGTTATTATGATTCAACAACACTGTTGCCTGGGGACTTTAACACCTTTCTATCTTTCAGCAACTTTCTCACCATTTCCACATCGTCCCATCTTCTGGCAGATGCAAATAGATTAGATAATATAGCATATCTCCCACAGTGCTGAGGGTCCAATTCGATGAGGTGTTTCCCCAATTTTTGGCCAAGCTCAGTATCCCCATGAATGCTACATGCACCAACAAGGGCACCCCACAACTCAGGATGAGGCTCAACTGGCATCCCTTCAACAAATTTCAATGCTTCTTCAATCATGCCCGCTCGGCCAAGAAGATCAACCACACAACCATAGTGTTCTCTTTGAGGTTTAATCTGATGTTTTTGGGTCATGAGATCAAAAAGCCGAAGTCCCTCATTGACCAACCCCGAGTGACTACACCCACCAAACAATGCAATGAATGTTAAATCATTAGGTTTCAGGCCAAATAGTTGCATTTTCCAAAATAAAGACAACCCTACCCTTCCGAACCCATTCATTGACAAACCAGCAATCATTGAATTCCACGAAAGCACGTTCTTCTCAAGCATAGAATAGAAGACTTTAACAGCTCTCTCAATGCATCCACACTTCCCATACATGTCCAAAAGAGCTGTGCCCAAAGTCACATCAATCTCAAACTTGTTTTCAACCAGATATTCATGCAGACAAACACCTTCATCCAATGCTCTCAACTGTGCACACGCCGAAACAGCACTAACCAAAGCAGGCAAATTAGGAACCACCATGGCCTCAACCATATCCCTAAAAACCCTCAACGCCTCCACGCCCATCCTACATTGTGAGTACCCAGAAACCATCGCACTCCATGACGCCACATCCCGCTCAGGCATTTCATCAAACACCTTCCGCGCTTCATCGACTTTCCCAACTCTCGCCAACCCAGTGATCATCACGTTCCACGAAACAACATTCTTACAAGGCATAACATCAAAGTACCATCTCGCCAACTCAATCTCCCCCAAATTCCAGCACCCACTAATCAAACTCGTCCACGACACAACATCAACAATCCCCAAACTTTCTTCAAACACCTTACGCGCGTAATCCAATTCGCCAAACCCCAAGTACATATTCAAAACATGATTCACAACAAACACATCACAACCCAACCCAAATTTCAAAACATGACTATGCAGCTGTTGTCCAAGACCCCGCATACAAGACAGCCAACACGCGCGAACAACAAAAGGTAAAGTAAACTTATCAGGGAAAAGCCCGTTAAATAACAAACGCTTGTAATACTGAAAGCAAACATTGTACCAATTCGGGTGTTGAGAGAAGGCGCGAAGCATGGTGTTGTACATGAAGAAGGAGGGTTTGGGGAAGTGCTGGAAGATTGCGGCGGCGTAAGAGAGTTTGTGAGCTGATGGGGAGAGGGCTGCGCAGGCGAGAAGGCGAGTGGTTGTGAAGAGATTCGGTGTAAGACCGGCGATGATGAGATGGGCATGGGCTTGTTTGAGTTGGGAAAGGGATGCGAAGGCTTTGAGAGATTGAGTGAGTGAGGGATGGTGAAGAAGTGTGAGAGCTTCTAATGCCTTTCTCGTAGCTTCACTTGAAACCATTGATGGGAAAATTTTCCAATGGCCTGTGATTGTTGAGGGCGCACAATATTTGAAAAGAAATGTTTTTTTTTTTTTTTTTTTTTTTAATAAAAAAAGCAAGATTCATAACCGAACACTTACTGCACGAAAATTTAAAAAAACAAATTCATATCCCTAAAATGTCAGAAGCAAACAAACAATTAACAAGGGCTGCTAAAATTACTACATCAATAACACATCTTAGTTTACATAACAAGTTAAGGTTATTTGGAAGAACAACTGTGTATCAAGTACTAAGTACAACATCTATCTTCTTATTTCACACAAGCAGAGCTCTGTAAGGTAGCCACTTTTGAGCAAGCAGACAATATTTCACTCATAACTCTCTCTTTGGACATTGCAACAATGGTGATAATTGTTGGATTCAACTATGATTGTAGCTATATTTGCCAATTTCTACGACACGATTAGAGAAGTAAGTTTGTTCTTCGAAACTTCTGAAATTCTCCCCCGCTGCCACGTTTATGCCGAGGAGTAATACTCATGCTTGAGACTTGATTTGGCATTTTTTCTGTAACACTTGCATTTGTGTCATATCTCAAAAAGCAGCCCAACCTCCACTTCCATTTGAAGCCTGAACAGGTTGAATTAGAAATGAATTGAGAAAACCAGCAAATGAGTAAACATTGGTCAATGTTTTTCATGAATTTTTAAATAAGAGACTCAGATACATGAGAAGCATTGCTGCATAATAGTGGAATCCAGAGTACCCCGAAACTATTGGTAGCAATTTCCAAGACAGTTTCAAGTTACACCAAAAGTTATTGTGAAAAGAATACACAAAAATAGTTGATGGGAAGTCGAACCTGAGGGCTTGAGCATCCTGCAATGTTTTCATCTCCAAACTGCAAAAGAAAACACAACTTTAACCACATTGAAGAACAATGGAGAATGCTAGTTTAATATAAGTGAACTTGTATCCACAAATCATGCAAAATAAAGCCAAGAATTCTTCAAGTACTTCATTATAAAGTTCCAATTCTTACTTGCTTGACTCAATTATTAAATTCTAAATAACATCCTGCTCTCTGTTTTCTTTCAAAGTTATGATATAGAGCAAAGCCTCGCAATAGTGTTGACAATAGTGTCACGCAAGCCAATCTTATAACATGGAGAATCTAAATATTATTATAATTCTACAACATTACAAAATGCAAATTCTGGTTAAAAGAACAGAAACAACAGCATAAAGAAAAACCATAAAAAACGATACCTCATATTCGTTCTCCTTAGCTGTACTTTCTGTCCCTACATGTTCAAAGAATTGAAAAATTCAGAAGCCAGATATATAACTAAAGGAGGAAAAAGAAAAAGATTAGATGACATGTTTGCTAAAAGTTTCAGAATGGAGCAAGCATCATGAATCTGTTCTCGCTATTAGTTCCAAGGCGGCAATCCAGTTGGTCTTGGGGAGTTGAACTGTCATCAACTGGCTTGTAAGTATAGTTAATCCTCTTTATATCCTCCCCTTTCTAGATCTAAAACTGTTAATCATCAAACCACATGACACACACAGATCTACCCATACCATTCCATGTGCACCAAAAATAAAATCTTTTGACGAGAGGGACAGACAGACAAACTAACCAGTGGATTTTTCAGTGTTCAGTTTTCCCTTTTTCTGAGGGTCTTCAGCCTGCAACAAGGATAATCCAAGTTAGTCTGAAACCTTCATTACCATTAAGCAGTTATCATGATAAACATATAGACAAACCATACTTGAAACACGAACTTATAAAAAGCAAAAGGGAAAAGAAAAGAGAACTATTTGAAATTGAGATCTAACAGTCTGCATTGCTCATCAAAATACATATTCAACAAATATTTATAATCATTGTCCACAAACACAGCAAACTTTCAGTTATCACATGACAAACTATTATAGTTACCTTTTCCTCCACTTTATTGAATAATGTTGATATGGTTGTTTGGACAAGTACACCACGATGACTGGTTGAGGGTTGCTTGGACTTAGTCACTGCAACAGCAACATTAGATAAGTTCTTAAGACTTACTGGCTGTATAGATGATTAAACTTGTTTCGAATCAATATATAGTTGATGCAATGTAAAGTGTGAGCGATTTTACACACAAATAATGAAAGTTCCAAAATTCAATATAGCAAGTTAAAATGAAAAGGCTGTAATGTTGAACAAGAAACAAATCAATGTCAATTAAATCTAGGTATTTACCATTAGTTTTTTTGCTGGTTGAAATATCACCTTTCTTTTCATCTCCCTCAGACACATCAGCATCACTTCCAGCAGGATCATCTTCTGAAGAAACTTCTGCAAATCTAAATCAATAAAAGACATCAGTAAGTTACATTTTTTTATCTCCCTGTAGACAGCTAGTTCACCTACATGTACATATTCAAATATCTTTTTTGTTAATAAAATTCTTTTTTTCCTATCAAATTAAAAATAAAATAAATTCAAACCTCAAGGGAAGTCAATAAAACTTTCCCTATTTTAATTAAATTAAAAGCAAAAAATCTTCCTTAAACATCTAACTTTATCAAAAACAGAATCACATATTATGATGTACTAATCTAATCACAAAGATTAATAGACAATAAACAGGACATGCCATATCATGACATCCAATCACAAGAATCAACACAAGAGTTCGTCTTACATGATCTATTCTACAGGAAAATGCCCATCATAATTTTTGCCTCATATAAAAACATGGATCATAGTAATATTATGCTAGATATTTATTAAATTATCAGAACAAACGAAAAATCAGCATATAAGTTGAGGGAATTAAATCTTCTGAGAATCATTTTGTAAGTTCTGCAAAAAAAATATATCCTGATAAATTCCTGACTAGTCAACCAATAACAACAACTCAATCAGCCACGCCAACTAGGACTGTAAGTTGATGCTTAAATCATAATATTTTGGGCAACATATAGATAATTGCAGCTGCTGACATCTTTACATCAGCTAAGCAGGTCAAGTAAATGAAAAAAATTAGGTTCATACATGAATCTTTTTCCAGCAGTTCTCTCAGAGTGTCGAACAGGCGTCACTTCCATCTTATCTTTAAATTTCATTTCAACATCTGAAATATCATCTTCAGACTCAAGTTCAGTGGACTCTTCCTCTGAACCTTTCATTACACTCTTCAAAACACCTTGCTTATTTACAGATGCTGCACCCACACCACCTTTGAAGTTTTGCTCCAAATTTTGTCCCTGAAACCAAAAACCACTTAAGGGTCATCAGAGGAACTATCTTTTAAGTATGTTGAAACAAGAGAAAGACAAAAAAAAAAAAAAAAAAAAGCTCTATACAATTCCAACTATGTGAAAATATCCAACCTCACTTAGTTCTTTTGGAAACTCAAGTCGAAGTTCATCTGGATTCTCATATTTTTTCCCAATCCACCATGCATCAGAAAACACAATCTGGAAATATCACAAGTCAATATGATAATGAAGAACAATTGAAACTGCCCCAAAAGCTAGATTGAAATCATAGCAAACAAATGATAAGTGATAAACATATCTAGAACCGATTAAAATCATAAAAGGGAAGAGGAGAAGGGAAAAACAAAAAGTTTCAAACTTAAACATGTACATCATTAAAATTTTGGCCCTAAGAAAGGGATTAAGAAAATAAAAATAGTAATAATGAACCCTAGCCAAAAATCATGGCACGCATACAGCACAAAGTCATGTGAAAAGTATGAATTATTTTCAGCAGTCAAGGAAGTACAGGAAATCAAGAATGAATGTGTTTTCAATTAAACATATTTCTACAAGAATGGAATTGGTAAATGTAGGAATTTGCATGATTCAAAATAAATTTCCTTCGTCTTCATTTATCATTTACAAGTTACAACTTTTTTACCACGAAAAAATGAAAAAAGAAATGAATTTTAGGCACAGAGCAAGGGGTGTTATTTGATATTGCCTAGAAAGTACTAAATTCACATCAATCATCTATCACAGAAAGTAATTCTGTGCATTGAGTTTTGAACTTGATTCCTAAAGTACACGTGATCCATATTAGCATATAAAAATCAATATAATACAAAAAGGATAGGCCTCAATCATTGAGATATGAACTTTTATGGAAGGCAGATGTTTTCTTGGTGGCTGATCATCATCCTCTCACTAATTTATGAGCTTTGCTAAAGCAAAATCCAAACTCTTTTTTACAAATAGCCCCAAAGTTCACAGGACTATCTGACTCTTCTCTCTCTCCCTTCAAGTGCCTCGCATGAGCGAGATGCTCACATAGGCACCAAAGGCAAACATGTTAGTTAAGCCACCTTGCCTCTAAGGTGCCACCTTATCTGAGCAGCTAGGTGATGATCAGGTTCAATTTCGCTGGCAGTGTTAAATGCATTTCAGATGGAAGAACAAACAAAATTACATCTCCCAAAAAATCCCAAAATATTCACAAACCGAGATCTTAAACACGATAAAAGTTGATTGGTTCATCAACTTTTTATTGAATAAACAGTAAAGCATTTTGCACTGTAATGCTTTACAAAGTGATACTTTCCTTGTGACAAGGAAATAAGCTTGTCACTCCGTTGCCCTTACTACTGAATTTAACATGAGACATCCCATCCAAGACAACAATAACAAAAATAACAATAGCAATAACATTTGGTTCAAAAAATTAACATATACTCATGAAAAAACAAACTCAGAAAGGAGAAGGGGACAGAAACACAAACCAGGTTATCAAAATAATCTTCACATATGACGTTCTTCCCACCTCTAGAAAACTGCAAAGTCAAGTACCTGTTCTCTGGGTACACGATAGTTCCAAACAGCTTCATTTGACCCTAAAATAATTCACAAAGCAATTGAGATAAACATACAAGCGTACATGATCTCATTTCAAGCTATTCTTTATAAGATCGTGGAAAAGGTAAAGATTGTATAAAGTACAAACAAATTTCATCAATGTCAAAATTCATCATAAACCTTAAAATCTAAAAGCAACTAATAAATAATAAATGAACCTTTCCTCCTAACAAACAACAATAACCCACCCAAAGCTCGGCTAAAATACAGGAATAGTAAACCACATTAACTCAGAAATTCATCCATAACCTCCTTAAAGCTTTTCCTTACGAAATTTTCAAAGACCTTCCTTGAGCTCTATAGACTTTATCACAATCCTCTCCTACCTCTACCAATTTTTCAAACCAAACGAGTCCATCTTAATTAATTCTAACATTAAGTGATCTGAAAAATATGTACCCACAAACCAAAAATACCCTAAACTTCCTGAAATCTCTTCATAATTCACATAAACTTAAAGAAATGTGAAAAAAATTCAGCTCAAATTTTAAAAAACGAAGGGGGGGTGGGGGGGTGGGTGGGGGGCGGGGTTGGGGGACGGGGGGTCTGAGTAAGAGCTCAAACGTAAGGGGCCCAAACAGAATTTACCCCAAACTAAACATACCTGAGGAAAATCAAGGTAAAGAACAGGGTTCTGGGTACCCAAATTCTTCAGTTCACCGATCTTGCCACCGCCGCCACAAGGTGCAAGAAGACCGGGAAATGAGAACAGGAAGCGGTTCCTCCGCTGCGACGATTTGCGAATAATGTCTTTACCGTGGTGTTTGATGACCTGATTAGTGGGGTTTAGAGGCGTGAAACCCTTGGCTGGAATCACTGAGAGCATCTTCTTCTTGACGGCAATGGTTTTGAGGCGCGTACGCTCCACGTGCTTCTCATCCTGTTTCTTCTTCTTTGTAGGAGGAGGGGAATCTCGCACCGCCGCTCTCACCATTGTTGTCGCGGGAAGCTGCGATTGTGTAGGGACTAGTATCTGTGTGAGTAGTCAACCAATTCCCAGTCCGAAAAGATTTGTAACAGTCAGATTTTGTATGGTTTTTCATTAAATTTGAAATAATTTAACTATTGAATAACTGATTCATAACTGTCAATTTTGTACTGATTTTTCAAAATAGAGCTTAAAAAAATATAATTTATTATTTTAAATTTAAAACAATTAAACTATTAAAAAGGTGTAAATAAACAAATTTTACTTTAATAAATGTTACTCTAATAAACTTTTTTTTTATAAGTTTTATTGATAATCATTCCCGAATTACACATATTATTAGATTAGAGGATAGACTTTGAATTCGATTTATAAAAATTGGTCTTTGTAACTACATATATATTGTGTAAAATGTTTAGATTGAAAACTACGATATTTACTCTAAATCTGTATAAATTTTTTTAGTTTCTGATAGTTTATTACAACATACGCCAACTATTGTTATCCTTTCAAATTACACATTACCTTTGAACACGATTATATTATAAGTATGTTAAAATAAGATCAGACTTCTTCTAATAAAGTTGAATAGGATCCAACTTTGAGTATAAATTATATTAAAGTGAAAAGTAATACTATATATATAAAAAAAATCTTACAAAATCTTTTATACAAAGTCATATAACATAAAATGAATGGAAGAATAGATACAAGGAATTTCTTTCATTTATTTTCTGTCTGTAAAATTTATTTATATTTATAGTATTATTGGGAGGTGAGATCCTCGGATTTGAATAGTCATTAGTCAATGAAAATCAACTTGACACCGGGCTTGTGGGCCTGATCGGCCCGCAAAAAGCCCACAATTAGTCTATATCTATACAAAGATTTGGACGTGCCAAGCACTCCATTTCACTAAGAGCCACACATCAAAGTTTAATTTCGCCTAATAGAGGGGCATAATTGCAAAACTCAACTCCTCTTTCTTTTGCTTAGCTTTGGTTAAGGTAAATCAACCTAAATAACTATTTTTTAAAGCTACCAAAATTCAACATCATTTTATTTATCAACCGAACGAAGAAATAAATGAGTTAAAACGAAATCACCTTCCAAATACATTATATTACACACACTAAATTTATAGATTCTTGTTATAATGTAATTAAACTTAAGATACATTTAGGTTTAAACTCAGTCTACTCTAATTCCCAAGATTATGCTTTTTATTAAAAAAAATATATATTAATTTATATATGTCATATGAATTTTATAATGTTAATAATCATATGTACACACATATATTCATAGCATATGACTTAAGGACACTGACCTCTGGTATGAAGTAATAGCAAAACTCTATGGGGATGTTTGGTTTGGGTTATCTCCCATTACTCTAATAATGTGATCTCATATTACTGACATTATCATGTTTGATTATCAAGTAATATAAAATTCCAGTAATATTTCAAAACCAATAGTAATCACTATTGGTTATATAAGTGGTAATCTAAATACTATTTTTTTCTTATGTATTCTGAGATTACTTGGAAATCTTAATTTTGTTACAATTTTACTCCTAACCATTAAAATTTTTAGACAATAATGTCCTTGTTCTTAACACAATTTACAAGAATATTCATGGACTATTATATTCTTATACACAAGATTTTTAGGACATTATTACCTTTGAACTTGAACCAAATTACCCAAAACCAATGGTCGGATCTGGCCACCACTACCTGTCAACGTTGCCAAAACGGCACACGACTAGTCGGATCTTGTCGATCGATGGTCAAAAACGGCTAAATAGCCGTGGATCTGGCTGTTTCTAGCATTAATGACTATAGATCTGGCCAAAAAGGGTTAGGTCGATTGTGTGCCGTTCAAGCCATGGCCGATAGTGGTGGCTGGCGGCCGACAGTAGCTTGGTAAGTAGGGGTGTTTTTGTTATAATTTAAACTTTTATTGTGGCTGGGTGTTTTAGCAAAATCTCAAATGTAAGAGGTTAAAATAATAATCCAAATAATAATAATAATATTATTATTTAAAAAGTAGGTCAATTCAGTAATTTATATAATATACCTAATCAATTTATTCCTCTCAACCAAACATATCAATATAACATACCCACTAATTTATTTAAATTTAACAAAACACATTTAACATAACACTGAAAGTGTGTTTGGATCATATTATGTTTTATTTTAGGGGGATGTTATACTAATAGAAAGATAGATTAACTTGAAGATTACTGAGAATATTTAAGGAAATGCGTTTGATTGGTTTGAATAAATTGGTGAGTATATTATATTTATATGTTCGGTTGGGAGGATAAATGGGTGGGTATGTTATATAGATTACTAAATTGCCCTCCTTTTTAAATATCAATATAATATTATTTTAATTATTATTTTTTGAATAATTTTTTTTAACCTCCTGAATTTGAAATTTTGGTATAACACCCCAGTCATATAAAACTTTAATTTATAGCAAAATCACCATCATCCACCCCAAGCCACTACCTACAACCAACCACTATCACGGGTCGTTGCCGGCAGTCAACGAAATGGCGCATGACCAACCGTATATGGCCAGCCATGCGTCGGCAAAGCCATTTTCAACCATGGATCACAGATCCATGGCCGTCTCATGGCCAGATGTATGGCAGTTTCACAGCCAAAAATGTGGCTGTGAAATGGCCGTTCCATGGCCAGATCTTTAGCCGTGAAATGGCCTGATTTGGTTGTTTTCGACCATGCACCACAGATCCATGGCCAGAAATAGCCTTACGGATGCACGACCGACCAGATCAGGCTGGTCGTGTGCTGTTACAACGACTATCGCTAGTGGCCGACGATGGTCTTGGGTGGCTAGGGGTATTTTGTTAACTTTTAAACCTTTTTGTGGTTGGGCTATTTTAGCTAATTTCTCAAATATAGGTGGGTTGCGTAATTGTTATTTGATAGATATTTGAGGGCAATTGTGTCCGAAATGATATTTAATTAAGGGCAAAATAGGTATAAAATCATATTACCTCGGTAATCTTTTAATAACAGCCGTTGGGGAAGATATCTGATTACCCCCTACATTACCAACAGTAAACACTATTTGTAAACAAAGATACCAGTAATATGTTATTACTTGCAAACCAAACAATGAAATCTTGCAAAATAAACTAAAATTACCCTTGTTATCTTATATGACCCTGATCCAAACGCACCCTCACAGTAATTTTCAAAGTAATCTATCTTCTCATTAATATAACATTTTCAGTAATATAATATTCCCTAAACCAAATGCACCCTATAAGCTTTTTAAAATAACAAAAAGAGTTAAAGACTTTTTTCCACCTGGATAATCGTTTAATGAAAATTTCCTGCCCTCAGACTTTTAAAATACCATTTTACTACCCAAAGTTCAGTTTTGTTTTGTAATTTTTTTTTGTGAAAAAGGATAGAATGGTCAAAAGTGTCTCATAAGTAAGGGCAGGATGGTCAAATAACATTAATTAACCATCTTCTTCATCTCCACTCCTCCAATTGCGACTGCCTTTTTTGCGTCGCCAACCGATTTTGGCATTATTGCAACTCCCCGCCACCACCATCTTGTTCCTTGTGCCTCCCTCATCAAAACCAATCTTTCACTGTCCTCATTGAACCCACCATTGGAGTCCTCAAGCGCATGTCTGTAACAACTTCTTTCTTTCTATCATATTCATAAAATATATTAATAAAAAGACAAGTATATTTATCAAAATAGTTGGGCCCAAAAATTTTCTTTACTTAATAAATACATTCTTTACACAGTACAGCATCATTTGTACAAAAAGACTCTAAAAAATAGTGGACAGTGTAGCCAAGTCTCCCAGGTTGCCAACGTCCATCTGACCACGTCCTCACCTATGACCTATAAAACATAGAAAACAACGGGGTGAGCACAAAGATGCTCAGTAAGTAAATCTTCTACTTTATAGTCCCCGTGTATTACTCTTCAATTCTTTTCGTACTCTTGTCACTTTCTCTAATTCAATCTCTCTTGTTCTTTCTCTACTTCTAGCTCTCATTATTCTTTTCTTTCTTTCTATTCTCATCACCCATGGAGAATATCATAACCATGCATGAATGAGACACTAAAGCATAACAATGCATTTTCTCTCTTTTCTTTTCTTATTCTTATTCCTATTCTTATTCTTTCTTATTCTTATTCTTATTCTTATTCCTTCTTATTCTAATTCTTATTCTTTCTTATTCTTATTCTTATTTTTTGCCGATCGGTTTTGGTTGATGCATGGATTCGGAACCCTTAGCCATGTGAGTGTACTCTCTCTCACGCATATAACCCTCATCCGCATGTATTCTCATGGCTATATGAATTCTTTTTCTCAATCTCATTCCGCTCTCTCATGGGGGAGACCGCTCTCTCTCATGGCGGAGACCGCTCTCTCATGGCAGTTACACGCGGATAATTTCTACACTCACGGGCTCCCCATCGCACAACCTATTCTCTTTTCTCTTCTTTAGTACTTATTATTCATTTTATTCTCTAGTGCTAATTCTTTCTTTCTCTTTATTCTAAGAGAATTAGTTCTTTTCTTTATCTCTATTCTTAGAGTGTTTCTTTCTCATTTTTCATATTTCTTTCTTTGGTGATTACTCAAATAAACATATGCATATGGATGGCTCATGCCTAGAATCTTTCTTATATGCATTCATGAATTGCAAATGTGCAATGTTGCATAAAGTAAGGTTCTCCACTTCTACTCATGCTTCTTTTAGGCATTTCATCAAGCAAAATGTGTGCATACATAAACTCTATTCTAACTTTAATTATACTTCTTTCTTAACCATATAAAATTGGAGGTCAACTCTTTTAAATCATCACACATCCTGCAAAGAAAACACACTTCAAATAGTCCTCTCAAATTCTTCTGATTCTATCCATACTTCTACCAATTTTTATCAACACAATCCACCCTTCTCATGGTGGAAATTCCTTCATAAATTAACATTAAACTCATTCATAAATCCATCAACTCATTTCAAACATAAAAATCCAAGCATTAATCATATATAAATCTCTACACATCTTCAATCATGTAAATCACAACTTAGGGGGAGTTACTTACGTTATGCTCAAG